ATTGCTATATTTAGAAAGAAAAAATATATAAAACAAATTATATAATTTATAATATGATTATGAAGGATATTTTGGGTAAAAAAAATTAATCATGTCATATAATCTAACAAAGTAAATATAATATAATTTTATCTATTGTTTAATCTATCAACATAAACATTATATTAAGGGAGAATTGGTCTGCACTCCTTGTCAGTAGTGTAGAATTTATATTCAGTCCCTATTATTAAAAAGTTGATCTCACTCTCTCCTTTTCATTATTGATTTAAATTTTATCCCTATTTTTTTTATTTTTTCATTAAATAGTATAGTATAAATATGATGTACCCTTAAAATATATTTAAATACTTTTAACATTTTTTTATATACTTATAGCACATTCCACTCTACCTATACTACGTCTCGGTCTACCTAAATTGTTCTACTGATATACCTTTATTTATGTTTTGTGTACTTTTGTATGTGTATTTAAAAAATAATAATAATAATAATAAATAATTATAATTACGTTTTATTATGGAATGAAAAAAAAAAAAAAAAAAAAACAACTACATTCTTCTCATATCCCAAAGAAAATCATATACCCGTCATTCTCGTTCATGTACCCCAGTATATTGAAATTTTTCCTCCTTCAAGCAATCAATCGCTCTTATTTCCCCTCAAATTTATTCATATTCATTGAGATTTCTAAATTTGCACTAATATTATTGTATTATCGGAATCTAATTGTAAAATAAAATATACATAATGTAAAAATTATAATGTGACTAATTTATTGAAATACAATTCAAAATTAGTACGTAGAATTGAAATAAAATCATGATATGTATATATATATATATTCATTCAATCAATAGAAGTTACACATTTATATTAAAAAAAATTGCAATAGAAAATTAAATATATAGATTTTAAATACAACAATGATTATATATATCATTTTATCAATATGAGTTTACTTACTCTTTTAATTCTACCTATAAAATGAAAAAATTTGATATTAATAATTTATATTATTTTTGTACAAAATTCATAATTATATTTAATATAATACTCCCTCCGTCCCAAAAGAGATGTCTTATTGGATGTTGACACGGAAATTAAGAAATAATAGTATTTAATTGAAAGTGGGGTATAAAGTAGAATGTAAAAGACTAAAAATTTCTTGCTTTTTTAAGGATTTTAAAAGTAGGTTAGAGTAATAATTATGGGTAGTTTGGAAAAGTAAAAATAATTTTGTTATAAAGTGGAGACCACGGTTATTAAATAAAGGAAATAAGACAATTGTTTTGGGATAAACGAAAATGGAAAAATAATACAACTTTTTTGGGACGGAGGAAGCATAAAATATTACGTAAATATTATAAAAATATTATACATAATATAAACTTTATCATATGATTCAATAGAATATTATCACAATAAATATCTATCTATCTATATATATAATTATTCTATCAAATATTTAAAATCCTATATATAAGATAGAATTTTTTTTAAATATTAATACTAGTAATAAAATTTATTTATAGTATTTTATATATTTTAAATACTTACTATGTATAAAGGTTAGGGTTCGTTTGTTTTGTGTTTTGATTTGAAGGAATTTTTTTTTATGTGAAATATAAAAAAAAAATATATAGATAATATAAATATCATGAGTGTGCGTAAATATATTAATTTTTGTAGAAAAATATTTTGAAATTTTTTCAAAAAACAAACAAATCCTTATTTTATAGAAAATAAAATTTATAAGAAAATAAAACTAAATAATTTTTCCTATCAAAGATTTATATTAAATATACAGGTCATAATTTTGTATAATTTTTTTTTTAATCTTTACTAATATTTTTTTTATTCTAAAACGTGAAAATAAAATAAATATAAATATAATTTTATTAAAAAAGTAAATTAACTCTTTAAAAGAACTAATAAAAACAGATAGAGACAATTTTTTTGTGTTATTAAACAATTCTAATTATAACAATACACCTAAAAAGTAAATATATAAAAAAATAAATTATTTAAATACACATTCTAAACATTTATGCATACACCATTTTAACATTTATGCATATATCAGTTTAACATTCATGCATATATCCCACTGATAGAGGTAGTGGTCTCACGGAGTGCTTTAATTGTCTTCTTCGTTTGGAAATTGATTGATATCAACTACATTTTAAAATACCTACAGCTATATATAATATTTAATTAACCACCAATTATACATTGACTACCGGTGTTTGTACCTCGAGGATATTATTGCATATGTGCACTAAAGATATACCCTAGTGTAATTGTTATGTACTTGCAACATAAAGTCATATGCTCCGCTAACGCGTATATATGCCCTGGTTATATATGGTTGGAAAAATGGATCGTGTTTGGTTCAACATATTCAATTGCTCTTAGTAACCAGAGATAAATTCATCATTATTGTGTTCTCACGACTCCCTGACATGTAAGTAAAGAAAAGAACACATAATTACTATATATGGCCAAACAAGTAAGAAATGACGTTAAGTTTGTTGGTTGTTACTCATGCATCACTACTCTCACAAATTGATTATTTTTTAGACATATTGCGTAGTAATCCACACCGTAACACACACAAAAACATTTAGTTCACCAAGGCTGAGAGAAGAAGTGTTCTCACCAAGTATGCGAATTGGCTCTCTCCATTAAAATGACTGAAATTAACTACACTTGAAGATACCTGATAATACACAAATAATACCTAAGAAACCATTATTTATACCTCGCATGTAGGTGTTTGTACCCAGATCACATTTCTTATGTACCTACATAAAATATCGACATACCCTAGGGCGGATCTTAACTACTTATAATAATAGTCTCGTATGCTTCAGTAAAGAGTATATATGCTCCAATAACATGTGGTTGGAGAACAATCATTTTTTTGTTCAAAATATTCATTTGTTGACGGTAACTAAGGATGCGTTCATTATCATAGTCTTCCTGTGACACCTCAAATTGTCAGAAAAGGTAAACAACACATATTTATTATGAATGGTTAACCAAGTAAAAAATGACTTGGATAGGCTGTATGAGATATGTACTATTATAGTCCAACCTCAACTAGTAGATGTCTAATAAAGTCATAAGTGACTAAATTAAATTATATTGGTTGTTAGAGTACATGATTGCTATCACAAATTGAAAATCTTTAGATCTATTACATATTAATTCACATCGTAGCGCACACAATAATTTTTGGTCAAGGGCATCTAAGCATAGGGTATGACTCGGCTAAGCAGGTGAGTATTCTAGAGCAGCTATGTTGTACCTCCAACCTGGTTATATCAGGTACACCAAAACAGTTCAAACCGTCGGTTACGGTTTATCAAAATATCAAACCGAAACCGAACATTCTGAATGACGGTTTCGATTGCGGTTTAAAAAACTGACGGTTACGGTTTGAATCGCCGATTTATGTACATTCATTTTTAATATTTTTTTTCCTTTTTAAGTTTTTCTAAATTTAAAAATTTATTCAAAAATATTATTTTCTATTTTAATTTCATTCAAATATATTTATTATTTATTTATTATGTAAAATCATATAAATAATAATTGCTAGAATTGTTACAATATAAAAGTAATTAAAATAATAAATTTACTAAGTAATTAAATCAAATTAAATTTTAAATTAACATAAACAAAATTAAATTTTAAGAAATTGATGTGTATTTAGATAATAAGATAGTTTAAATTAAATATAATTGTATGATAAGAAATACAAAATCTAAAATATAAATAAATAAAATAATGTATATTATTATTATATAATTAATAATTATTTATTTTTATTAATATTAATATTATCTTTATTTTTATTTTTATAACAATTTAATTATATATAGTAATTTTAATTACATCCACTCTCCACATTCCACCGCAGCTACAGTTGCAATGGTTCGTTTTTTTTTTTTTTTTTTTTTTTTTTTTGTATTTTCTTCTTTTTGCAATTTTGTTTTTTTTCTTCTTTCCTCCTGCTTCTTCTTAACTGTCGCCGCCCGCCCATAACATTCTATAATCCACAATCGCAGCCGGTGTATAGGTTTAAAATTAAAAAGAAAAAATAATGGCTGAACCGCCGGTTGAAATCGTAAATCGGCGATTTGAACCAGCAGTTTGCATTTTGACAAATATATAAACCGTAACAAGAGGTTCGAAAACTGGTAAACCGGAGATTCGGAACTACGTGGACAAATTTAAACAAAATGTATTGTAAGTATATAAAATAAATTTGGAAGCATTTAAAGATATTTTAGAGGTACATTCAATTTTTACTGAATAAAATCTAAAATATGGACTAATATTAAACTAAATATGTAAAGGGGGGAATGCAAACCAATTGTTTTAAAATAGAGACTGAATTATAACTAAACATTACCTGTAAGGAGTCCACACCAATTATCCGTTATATTAATTAATCATTTGATTATTTAATTTATTGAAATAATAATTAGTATTATAATGCAATCTCCCTCCTTAAAAATTATTTATATTTTGGGGCTGGGGTAAGTTGACCCCTAGGCCCGTATAATTCCTCTATGAAATATCATAAAATAATTTAATTGATGCAATGTGTCATGTAGAATTATTATTATTATTATTATTATTATTATTATTATTATGCGTTTACAATGTGAGAATCCCTAATTGTTACTTTTCGAGTTTGAACTTTCAGTCAAATTTAATAGTTTGTAACTAGATCCGACAAGATAAGTCACACTAGACGAACCATATATGACAGACAAAACCTGAAGACGTCGAAGTTTGAACTCATAATTTCACGATCACGAGTTCATCCCCACACTTTATGATTTATTAATATACTTTATATTTTAAGATCAACTATAGTACACATTATATAAATTGGTGTTATATTTTGTACGTATTTGTATTATATTAATACAGGATAAAACAAAATATCTATATCATAAAATAACATTATAGAATATACTATTATAGTATTACAACTATTTGAGCATGTAACAAGAAAGAACCAAACACACACTTAACTATTGCCTCCCCATCCATTACATGAATATGAATGCATCAATATGAATTTATATGATCTCTTCTACTACTATTACATCCATCACTTGCATTTCGTCAGCCGGCAAGTCCCTCCGGCGCCGGAGTTCGCCTTCATGAAGTTCATCGCCGTTCGGAGGACTTGCCGCTTCGACCCCATCAACGCCAAGTTCATGTGCTGGATCACGGCCACCGGGTGGTAAGAAAACCCGATGCTGTTGTAAGAATTAAGGAGCGCCGTCGTCCCTTCCCTTAGAAGCGTATTGTACGGCTCCCCCCGGCCTGTTAACGCTTCTTCGAGGCTTATCTCCGTGCCGTATCTCCGTGCGGCGATCAACCCGAATGCCGCCGCCACTTTGGTGCCCGGCGCCACCACTCGCCAATGGCATCGATGCTCCGGCGCCATCCATTGCCTAGTACAAAAAAACAAAAGATTAACATTATCGCCATAATAGTACTCCTTCCGTCTCAAAAGTATAATCTTATTGTGTTGGACACGAGATTTAAAAAATATTGATATTATATTAGTAGTTGATAAAAAGTAAGGATAAATGACTTTTTTTCCCTCTGTGAGTATATTAGTGTAAAAAATAATGGTAATTGTGAAATAATAATGAAAAAATAAGGATAATTTTATGGTGACATGGTTATTTATAGAAATGAGACCATTGTCTTGGAACGGACAAAAATTATAAACAATACTATTATATTGAGACAGAAAAAATATTGTAAATAACTGAGAAAAAAAAAAAAAAAAATTCCTCAACATCAACATCTCTCTGCTCTATTCAATATATATAGATACACACTCATGTATCTATATATACACCCATGGTTTGTGTGGGCAGAAGATGATGTATTTGGATCCTCAACAGTTGTTCAGTTCTCACACACACATAATGTTATACATATATGTATACATATCTATACATACAATTTTTTGTATGTATAGCATATACACACATATTGTACCAATGGATGATCCGATCGACTACTTACCGATACGAACACGCGGAAACTTCTAGAACCGGCGGCGAGGGGGGCAACGGGGGAAGCTGCGGGGGCCGCGGGGGCAATGCCGGGAGCCTAACCGGCGGGGGCCTCGCCGGAACTCTCGGCGGCAAATTCGGAATCCGGACAGGCGGAGCCGGCCTAGCGGGCAGGAAGTGTCCCGGCCGGGCAGTTCTCGGGCAGAACGGCATCGGGGCAGCCGGCTGCGCCACCAACGGATCGACGGCATACATTTCCATGTCGAACAATTTTAGAATAATTCGAAGATGCTTCGGGGGTCCGGCAACGGCGCCGCAGCGGTTCGTTCCGCGGCGGTTTCCGGCGACCTGAGCGTAGCAGCGGCTGAGGTCCGGCGAGCCGTCGAATCGGAGCACGTAGTTTCCGAGCCAATTCGTCGTCTCTTCGCCCCACAGCGTGTACTGCCCGTCGCTCCCGGGGCAGGCCATTGCAACCTTAATACCTACAACAAAAAATAAAAGGATCGATCATTCCTCCATACCACGTGGTAGCGTTTTCGTGAAGTTATATAATTAAAGATTGAAAGAAGTTACCGTATAACGGATAGTCGAAAAGGGAGACTTGGCCGTCCCTGCACTGATCGCAGAAGACTGTTCCGGTGACCATTGCAGCTCCTTGAGCTCCATCAATGGCTGCTGAGAGAATTACCAGAGCTGCTAGGACAAGAGGATTACTGTGTCGGAAATCCATCGAATATTCTGCAAATCAGGACAGTGGAAAATAACAGAGATGTAAGAATGTATATATAATGCCATTGTTCAACTGCATCCATTGATGGACAGATTTGCAAAAATTTGAAAAACCAGGGAAAGAAGAGAGACGGGCATTAAAGGGGCAGCTGGAATTGTTAGGGCAAATAATCACAATCCAAAATGGTTGCAATAATTTGGATATCTTGTCTGTAATAAATGGGAAAATTTATTAACTCGAAAGGGTATTTGATTCATCATTTTGGATGATTTTGGTTCTAATCATTTTTTTGAAAGTGTTTGTAATTTGTCGAAGAACAACCAAGAAGATGAGAAGATTAAAATTTTAGACAAAAAGTTGGGTTGTTTTTAGATATGTTTTAGAAGTTTTATTTAATAGAATTTTTTGGAATAATAAAAAATTGAATAAAAAATCCATAAATGATGTGTGATGTGATGTACATATATGTTGAATTTTATGTTTAGTAGAAATTAGAAAATAAGGTGTTTACCTTGTGATTTTTTAATTTTTTTATTTTAATTTTGATTTTGATTTTCGGTTGGAATAGTTATTTGAACTAAGTAGTACTCACTCCGTTCCACATAATTTGTTTCTATTTTTTATTTTCGTTTATCCACATAATTTGTCTTTTTCTTTTTTTGGAAAATTGATTATACACTTTAATTATATTCTAAAATTTAAAATTTAATCTTAATCTTAATTTATAATTATTTTTACTAAATAATAATTATTTTTTCTAATATATTTTTTAATTACTTACTAATTATACTTTACCTCAGTTTTCATATCTACAGTAATGCTCATCTTATCCGGATGGAGTATTTTATAGGAATTTGGAAGATTGAATAGTAACATAAAAATAGTTATATAATGAATAAAGTCGTTTTTTTATATAAAAAATAAAAATTTTATACTATGATTTTTAAAAAAACTACTATAGTAATACAAATATTTTTTGAACTCTTAATGTTATTTATATATATTAATTTTTCAAAAAAAAAAAAGGGTCGTATTCAAATATTTAATTTTATACTCTAAACATGAAAATTTAGAAAAAAAAATATGATCCATAAATAATTAGTGATTAAAGCAGTTCATTATTTTTTAAATATATATATATATAACTTGTAAAACATACAGGAACATAAATATACCAGATGTAAGACGGAAAAATAGTACTCCTTCCATCCGACTCTTACCATTTGTATAATTTTTTTTTTATGAATGTTATTATAAAATACTGATGAAAGTATTTTTGCAATTTTTTTAATTTATACTATATTTTGATATAATAATTAATATTTAAAGATGAACACAAAAAAACAAAACATAAACGAGACCTTTAAAAAGAGACGGAGGTAATAGTATTTTTAAAATTATTCAAAACTTCCAATTCAAAACTTCCAAATTGATGTCAAAGCAGTATTTTGTTTTTAATTGATTGTATTTAGCTATAATTGGATAAATAGGTAATTGTGGACTTTTAAGTACAAAGTCATGCCTAATGGAAGACAAGAAAGTAGTTCTAGAGTAAGAACCACATGTGCTTCATCACATCACTGTCTACCTATAGCTTAGCTTCTCTAGCCATTAATCCAACCCCTATTATCTCTATCATTATTTTGATGCACAAATAAATATAGCAGCTCATAATTTTCACTGTTCGAATTTTGATTTTGCATTATTTTCCCTCTTCTTCCCTTCATTTAATGTCGCTCTTGTTTTTTCCAAACTTAGGCAACAAAACAAGACACCATAGGCATATCAGAATCACACACAGATTTCGAATAAAAGATGATCGATGCAAGAACAGAAAGGTTTCGAGACGTTGTACAATACCTCAGTTTCTCCAAACATCTCCCATGTCCTAACGAGAGCGCATTGAGAAACCAAACTGCGCCTGATGTGGGATCTAAATAGTAGACGAAGCGAAAAAAATGTCGATGAAGCAGATGTAAAACAGTTGATCCAAAGTATTTGCATGAATTACAATGGTATCTAACTAAACCTTGGTGTTTTGGTTCTATAAAACCGCATATTCCCTGAAATATGTAGTCGAGAACAGATGATGAAAAGCTGCAAATTTTCTTCTACAACACAAAACGACTAAATAGTCGTCGATACTAAAAGACTGTTGTTGCAGTGCTAAATTATAAAACACAACATGATTTATATTAATATAACACAAATATCACAACTGGACTGCTAAAGAGTCGCACAATACTAGAAGGGCATTGTTACCATGCTAAATAATAGACTAACTCGACTACTAGAGAATTATAAATGCTAACAACACACCTACAAATAAGAACTGACAACACACGTTTTTATTTAGGCGGCGGCTACAGTGTTGAATTTTAAAATTCAGCACTGTGCTGACAATATACCGCAGCACACACACGGTGTGCTATCAGACAGCACATGAACTAACAACAAATGCTATAGTCTTATACAATACTTGATATCAGCACACTACATATTGTTATACAGCACATAATTATTATTCACAGTATATGTTGTATATAATAAAACTGTATTTTGTTTGTATATATTACGGGTGCTGATTTTTCCTATTCAGCAACCATCCTCTACTAGAAATAGCAAATGCACTAACAAGTTACAACCATTCAACAAAATGCATATTCAACACAACAACAATTCATGGCGAAAAGCAAAAAGGTAGAATAGCAAACTCCATAACAGAAACTCCATCTACCGATGTTCCAAACAATAATCATTTCAGGAATCCAAAGTTTCACACCCAATGAAGAATGAATTCAACAGAAATATAAATAGTCGCCACGCCAAAAGTACAAATTACCCAATACAGAAGTAAATCTACATGTAAGTCTAACAAAATTGCTCTCTATTATGCACTGCAACGATCCAAAATGAAATGAAAGGGAAAGCCAAAATCCTATCAGTAGACCACATCAGTTTCTTTATCGAAAAGATTTTTATATTATACCGCTGCTGTCAAAACTTCTTCGATGCATCAACAACCCAGAGCAATCCATTCTCCCACCAACGCTCGCTTCAAATCCAGGGGATTATTTAGCCTGTTCAGTATGCCCATTTTCAGGACCAGCACTTTCAGATCCAGCAGCACTACGAAAGAGAGAGATAGAGAAGTTATGATAAATTCAACGAAACCTAACAATAATATCAACATTCGATCCAGAAAATTTCAAGTCACACACATTCAGCATGATTTCACAATTTTAATGACCACTGAATTAGATTTAGAGGTGAAAATTAAGTATACTTTAACTATGTAGTTTCTACTCTTAAAATTTGTAGTTTCTACACTTGAAATTATTTTATCACAACAATCAATGGGACAGATGAAAAGATGGTTATATTAAACAAGTACACAGAATCACAATTCATACAAACAGAGAAGAACATCCCACTAATGCAATCGCTACAGACTCCAGGATATACATATATATATATATATCTAAAACATAATACATATATCACTAGAAAAAGCAGTGGCAAGCAATTATCCATCGATTTCAACACAGCATTACCGATATGTCCAAGCCAATTATTTAAAAGCAAGAGCTATGCAAAGCCTACGAACTACGTAAGGAAAGCCAGCCTTCTTAACAGACAATGTTCGTTTGATGTCTAATGAATGATAAAGCTGCCCAAGATGGAAAAAGGCCACTATAACATTCCAAAGAAAGCTAACATATTTATATGAACGGATGAATTATAAACATAATATCAAAACAATGGTTGATCAAAAGATTTAAAACCAAAGAACAAGAACCTCAGATTAATATACATACACATATATAACTCCATCAGATCCTATAATCATGACTACACAAATAAGTGTATCGTTTCACTTAACATGAACCAAACATATTCAACAAAGTATTATATTCATTACTAGTTCAAAAACCGATGTGAGCATCGTATCCCTATCAAAAGTAAATCCAAAACTTAGTGAAAACACAAGAATGTGGATGCATACGAAACAATGTATCAATCAATACAATTAAATTAGGCAAGTGATGAAAGCCAACATTGTTATCCAAAATTCGTGTAAAGTTACATAACAAAAACACTTACCTTTGGGGACGAGAACCCCTAGACGGAGGCCTCCTCCAAGCCCCCACAGCCTTAGCCTCCTGGCGCATTTCATCTCTCCCATTCCCACTCCAAAAGCCTCTCTTCGGGGCCCCATCAGAATGTCCTGCAGAAACAACCTCCTTAAGCTTATTTGACTCAAGCTTTTCATCAATTTCCTTCCAATCTTGACCCTTCTCTTTCAGCACTTCCTCCCTCGGCCTAGCCTCACCGAACGGATTACTTCCCTTAGCCTTCACTGGACTAGCCGCGCCGCTCGCCGGCGCCGACGTGTTGCTAACAGGGACAGTCCTCGGCTGCAAATTCAACCTAGGCCTACCCCCAGCGCCGGCAGCCTCCTCCGGTTTCTTTCCCCAAGTTTCGGAATCTGCACCATCAAAACCTCCTCTCCTCTGCCTCAGACTGTCGAAAGCTCCGCCTGTTCTTCGTTCTTCTTCCTTCCTTTTAATCCAATTGTTTGAATCTGCGCCCCCGCCGCTGCTGTTGGAATCCGATCCGAAGCTTCCCCTTCTATCGTACCTCCGAGGTTCAGAGGGAACAAAGCTTTTGTTCGATGCCCAATTATCGACCTCATCGGCTCGCGATTGGTCGGAGAAGAAGCCTCCTCTATCGCCTCTGTCTCTCCTATCGAAGCCTGGGGATTTCTTCGCCGCCGCCCAATTATCGATCTCGTCAGCCCTAGAGGGCGCAATTTCACGATTCGCGTCGCGATTGAAACTTCCCTGCCGCCGCGGCTGCTCGTCTCTCAATCCGCCGCCGTAGGATCTGAATCCGCCGCCTAATTTGTTCCGATCGAGTTCCTCGGCGGTGCGCTGGCGCGGACCAGTAGGAAGCATCATAAGTTCGTCCGGCGTCAAACCTTTAGGCTGAGACGACGCCGCCGGCTTCTCCGCGCCGAACGTCGCGAATTCCTGAAGCGATAGTTTCTGCGGCTTCTTCTTCTTTGACTTTGTGACGGCGGCGGCGGCGGAAAGAGATGGGAAATCCGCCGTATCGCCGCCTTTGCCGCTACCAACCGCATCCTCCTTGCTCTGCTTCAGAAGCTCCGACTCGTTTTCCTCCGCATCCAACGCCCACGCGCCTGGCTTAGCCCACGCGCTCACGGTTGCCGCCATTCGTGCTGCTCTCCAGAAACTCCGATTGTGCGTTTTCCGGCGGTGTATTTGTGCGTATACTCCGTAGGTTTTTTACAAAGAATTTTGCGTACTTAGGAAGCGAATCGTCAGATTACTTATAGCGCTACGCAGGATGATTAAAAGAGTTTTGATCGGACGGCTGAGATTGTCGCCAGCTATAATCCAACGGGATGCGAGAAATCTGATGCAACGGACGGTCCGATTTCGTTTTATATCTTTATAGATACTTATATCTTTTTTTGTTTAGATTTGGTGAGCTGTCATGATAGCATTGGCTGCCAAGAAGTTACCAAATTAGCATGGTGTGTTTAATTTTATGTATAATTTTTTAAGAAAAATAAAAAAAAATGTTGGTTTGTATTTAAATATTAGATTGAATATAACCTTTTTAAAATATATATATTTATTTGAAAATTTAAATTTAAAATATCCAAGCAACTTAGCGTGTGTTTGTCTGGGATTTGGATTTTAAGTTGGGATTTCAATAGTAAAAAATTTGAATTTGAATAGTTGTATGATATGATATAAATAGGTGTTGATGTGATGTTTTGAATGTAAAATTAATTTTTAGTATAATATAAAAAATAAAAAATAGGTGTTTAATTTGATGTTTTTAGTGGAAAAAAATTGGATGAACAGTGTAAATTCAATCCAATCGCCAAACAAACACACGCTAATAATTCACACAAACAAATCCATATCCTACGGATATTTTTTGGTAACTTCTACTCTTTTTTATTTATTAATGAAAAATACAAATAAAACTAAAAAAAAATTAAAAAAAGGTAACCTTCTTGTGATGCCATTTATTATTTTTGGCATAAAATAATCATTAATGACAGAAGGTCTGTTTGTAGTAATTTTAATTTAAAATTACTATTAGTAGTGTTACAATCATAGTTTTATTACCTTTATTATTGTCTTTGTAGTTTGTATTATAAAAATTAATTATCTTTCACATTATCTTGAATAAGAAAATACCGTTATTAGGTATTTATTATCTTTATCAACAATTGAGTATTAAAAAAATAATAATTAAATATTATTCAAATTTTTAAAAATTTTAAAATTTTAAATTTTAAATTTAATAAAAATTATCTGTCAATATATAGTTATTTTGAATAAATTTTAAATTTTAAAATAGTAAATTATACTATTTTTAATATACTATTAAATTTTATATAGATTAATATTTAAAAATTAAATTATAATATTATATAAAAATGTTAGTAGACAATAAAAATATATAGAAATATGTATAAATAAATAAATAATTTATATATATTATGTAATAAAAATATATATAAATAAATAAAATGATACAAAATACGTAAAAAAATGTAAAAGGATACAAAGTACATAAAATTAGATGAAAGAAAAAATTAGTGTTGCTGATCTGGCCTTGCCCGTCTGCAGGGAAGGGATGTTATATTATTAAAATTAAGGTGTTAATATGTAAGCATTAGAGTCTTAAATCAATATTTTTGTGGAGAACATTACAGTCTTGACTTAAGCTTTCCAGTCGTATTTTTAATAGACTCGGGCTAACATCTTTTGAATAAACTGATGATTTATCATAATGACATTCTTAAATAAACAGACTTAGACTTGGTACAACTTGGACAAACTTATAGTTTATACATAAATTAAATTGATTAAGACATATAGACTCACAAAGATTAAGAAGTAAGAACTTTGGAACACTCAAAAAGATTACTTGCCAACTCGTACCTAGTTACTCAGACTTCACTAGAACGTTGTTGAATCTAGTTACTCAGACTTCACTAGAATGTAGAATACTTCTGAATCTAGTTACTCAAACTTCACTAGTATATAGAACACTCTTAGACCTTCAATACTTCTGGAATTCATAAAGGAATAAGGACTCTCTTGCTCGTTCCCCCCTCTTCTTGATGAAATGAAGGCCCTTATATAGGAAGAGACATGGGTCTTTCGGCAAATGAGGAGGGACTGAAGTGCAAACGTCGAGAGGGTTTTGTCCATACGCGGAAGGTGGTGGTAGTCTGGGTGGCCATCATTCCTTATTTGGTAAGTTGGACCTATGATCTTTGTCGGCTATACTTCATTTTCTGCCTGGTGAAACCTGTCAGGGTATATTATATATATATATATATATGTATAATATTTGTGTATATGGATAGTAGAGTATCGAAAGTATATATATGTATATAAATTATACTCCCTCCGTCCCACATAATTTGTCCCTATTTTCTATTTTCGTTCGTCCCACGTAACTTGTCCTTTCTATTTTTGGAAATATAATTATGCACTTTAATCGCATTTTAAATTTTAAATTTTATAAATTTCTTAATTTTAATTAAACTATTTACTTATCTTAATCTTAATCTATAATTATTTTTACTAAATAATAATTATTTTTACTAATACACTTCTTAATTACTTACTAATTATACTTTACCTAAATTCCCGAGTCTACAGTAATACGCTCATATTATATGGGACGGAGGGAATATAATATTTGTATATATAGATAGTAGAGTATTTGTACGTGTATATATATATATTTTTAATAGTAGGGATATATATATTATATAATATTTGTGTATATAGATAGTAGTTTATTTGTACGTATATATGTATTTTTAATAGTAGGGATATATATATCACATTTTTTTTTTATTTTAAAGTCTTTTTTCCCTGGTATGTTAAAATTTTGTCACAATTGGTCTTCGGATGGTTTCTTTCTTATGATGTGGAATGTCGTCAGCATCATTTTTTTTTTACATTCCACTATTACCGAACAATGTGTCGTTGGACTGGCTTGTTGAATTGTCTGACCCTAGCTACTCTTGTATGATTCGAATGGCTTCCTCTGGCGTTTTTGCGGCTGCGATGAGAGAAGCAATATGGGACCGTTGTTCTTGGAATTTTATTTTCGGATTAGTTGGCTTTTCTGCAATCTGCTTTGCGCTTGTATCTTGGGCAATCCAATACTCGATTTGGTATGGTTGTATGCTTTTGATAATCGAACATTTTCCCCACCATTTTACGTTAAACCTTCATCGCAGCACCTTGTGTGTATCATTATGAATCTCAAGGGTCCAAGAAAAAATCCAAGGGCCATAAAATTTTGTACAGAAGTTTGCCAAGGGGGTGAAATAGTTCTTTTCATGCTCGGTTGGACAATATTTGTTGGAGAATATATCAAAAGACTGTTGGATGATGGGTGGAAGAATTTCAGGGATAGATCCAAGGTATTCCCACCAAATAGACCACCAAATGGGGAAGGAATTTATGTTAACTGTTCGATCAAAGTAAATGAGCCATGTGTGGGTTTTTGATTTATTGGTGAGCCAGAGGGAGTTAAAACAGGCTTGTTGGTATTCAAAGTAGTTGTAGTGTTTTGGCGCAAAAGGTAGGTTAGAGAATCTTTCTGAGAATAGAATAGGTTCAGTAAGTGGTAAACCATACCAGTCAGACGGAGAGATTACTCGAAAAATTTTGCACTGGGAGTAAAGAATTTCGGAAGGGTTTGTCTTTGAAGTTTCATGTTTAATAACTACAGAGGCCGTGTCTTCGAGGATTGATTGGTAGTAGAGAATAGTTTTCCCATGGTCGAAAAGTTTGTAGAAGTTTTTTTCTCCAAAAAGTTCTTTCGGTTGTCTCAAAAGGGTCAAGAGAATCAAACCCCTTTTCGATGGTAATAATATTCTGGTAGGTGGATTTAAGGGACCATTCAGTTCAAGGGGATTGGGTGAGCTGGATTGTGGAAGTAGATGAAGAGGATTTTGCAACAGAGGTGTTTTCTGAGGGTTTTGTTAAAGTGGCAGCAACCTTAGGTTTTCTGTGAAGATGAGGTTTTCTTGGATATCTACGGGCTGAGGATTCAGGAACTTGTTGTAGAGGTTCTGGCTGAGGAATTTGTTGTAAGGTTTTTGGTTCGGCTAAGAGAGGGTTTTTGTCCGAGTCAGAAGTGTCATCACTGAGAGAAAAAGTATTGAAAGTTACCGTTATAGGAATTGATCGCTCATATTGTTGGGTCGCCATCTTCAAATCTCTGTTTTAGGGATTTTTGCATTGTTTTTACTGATTATGGCTTTGAAGTTGTTGTATCTTCAAGATCGTCTTTGGGTGGTATTTGGTGATCATCGTCAGTCTTGTCGATGTGGAGCTTAACTGGTTTCGGCGGCATCTGATCTGTTCTGTAAAAATTCTCAGGTTAAGAAATCAGGGATATAATTAATGTCACCTTTTATGTATTCCATGTCAAAGTCAAAAATGCTTATTATTCCTTGACAGCGAGCAAAGATTTGTTTTGAGGCAAGATTTTGAACGTCTTTCTTTAGGATTTCTTTTGTACTTTTGCAGTCCACTCGTAATAGGAATTTTTTGTTGATCAAATCACTTTGAAATTTGGATATACAAAGAACAATGCTTAGGATTTCTTTTTTGATAGTAGAATAATTTTTTTGTGTATCATTCCAATGAGTAGAAATAAATTGGATAATAACTTCCTTATTATCTTGTAATTGTTTTAGTATTCCTCCATAGCCAATATCAGAAGCATATATTTCAACTATTTTTTTGCAGGATTGGGTCAGCTAGATGGAGGCATGGTATTTCAGTAATTTTCTTTTTAATATCTTGTATTAGTGTTGTATGTATATTTGTCCAGGGTAGCGGATTTTTCTTTAACCTATCGTGAAGCGGCTTGATTTTTCTATTTATGTCTGGTTAGAAATCTAAGACATAATTTAGGCTTCCAAGAAATCTTTGTAATTGGTTTTTGTCAAGAATTTTATCGGGAAATTCATTGGCAAATTGAAGGGATGTTTCAATTGGTGTAATAGTGCCTTGTGTTATATAGTGTCCTAAGAATCTTATTTTTGTTTGAAAAAGACTTATTTTAGATTCGAAAATGACTAAACCATTTTTCTTTGTTATTGATAGAAAGGTACGAAGGTGTTTAAAATGTTCTTCTATAGTTTTTGAATAAATTAAGACATCGTCAATATAGACAATACAAAATTTATGGAAATCATTAAATGTATCGTTCATAATTTTTGAAATTCGGAAGGT